AAAGCAAGTGGAGAAGCAGATCACGGTTCCGGAGCTGCTGGCCTCCTTCAATGACCAGAGCACCTCAGATTACCTGGTGGTGTACCTGCGACTGCTCACCTCCGGGTATCTGCAGCGTGAGAACAAGTTCTTTGAGCACTTCATCGAGGGAGGGCGCAGCATAAAGGAGTTCTGCCAGCAGGTAAGGATCGCTGGGGGCCGGGGTGGGAGACAGTGGGGAAGGAAACCTGTTGCGGGGGCTGGATTGTTTTGCCAGAGAGGAAGAGGCTTCTGGGTGTCTGTCTTCTTCATGCTTCCTGAGAGGATCCGTGATGCTTTGGACCAGCAGTTCCTTCTGAAAGTCTACCTGGCTGCATTTTCCATATGTAATCCTCATTGCTTCCGGCTTTCTATTTCTGAGGTTTCTAGTCCTCAAGGAGCAGGGAAAACGTACAGGTGCCGCCTGCTGAAAAAGAAGAGCCTTAGGCAGGACTTTGTGCCGGAGGCAAGCCATTGGTTTCCGCATTCTCTCTTCTGCCTGTAAAAGCCTGTGACCTTCTTGCTTTTTGGATGCCTCCCTAAGCTGCTGCCTGGCCGCCTGCCTCTCTAAAGATACGGAATTGTTTGTGAATCCCAGGACAAGCGCGTGAACCTTTGAGGCTCAACTGGAGGAGACTAGGAAATGAGGTTGGCCCCCTGCTGAGCCCGAGGGTTGGCCCCACCGCATTGTGGCTTTCCTTCTCTCCCCACTTCATGAGAGTTGTGGACTACATCACACTGAGTAGATATGGTGCCGCGTTAAGCAAAACAAGAGAGTAACTCCATTTGCTCAAAACCTTCTGATTATTTACTGAAGATTATCAGCACAGGATTGGGATGGGCGGGGCATATTTAGCACAGAATATCTTCGGGAGCCCTTGCCAAGAGGAGGGCCGTGAGACCTCTGGGTGTACCCTGCTGTCTGTCTGGCACACAAGCGTCAGAGAGGTCACACAAAGAGACATGCAAGATTTGTATATTTGTAGGATCGCCGTGCCAAGCAAGTTCCATGGTTCTGTTCTGCCCCCCCCCCACAATGTTTCAAGTAAGCCGTGTTCTAGCCCAATCCCGCCCACCCCCACTGCAGAGGGGAGCTTGGAGGCAGCGTGAGCAGTCACAGACAAAGGCTGAGAAATCAAACGCAGGGGCCAGACTGAACAGGGTTTCTACTCTCTCACAAGCGTTAAAATCAATTTGCTGGCTTCTAGTCTATTTCTGGCCAGAACTCGGTGTGCTGATTTTGACCTGCAATGCTTGATGTGTTTTGGAACTAGTTAAAAGAATGGCCTGCTTCCACGAACCTGCTCGCTGTTTTAAGACCATGGGTATAGAGGACAGGGCCTTTTTTGTGGTGGCCCCTTACCTAGAGAGCACCCTCCTCAAAGCCACTTGCCTGGCATTGCCTCGACTACCTTTCAGGTGCCAGACCAAAACGGTATCATTTCCCCAAGCTTGGAGTTGATTCTCCTCTCCTGTTACTTGCCATTTTATTTCCAGCCTGCTTGCTTTATTGTGATTTTTTAAAAAAACTGCATCTGCAGCATTTGTTGAGATTTTCTTTTGGAACGGCTGATATTAATAATAATAATGACTTGTGTGTGCGTGTGTAAGAGTCTTCAGGGCCCCCTGAGTGCCCTCTCTGGGGAGGGCAACACTGACTGTGCCTCCCCTCTTTGGTTTTCTCTCTTGCCCCAGGAGGTGGAGCCCATGTGCAAGGAAAGTGACCACATCCATATCATCGCGCTAGCCCAGGCCCTCAACGTCTCCATCCTGGTGGAATACATGGACCGGGGCGAGGGCGGCGCCACCAATCCCCACATCTTCCCTGAGGGCTCGGAGCCCAAAGTGTATCTACTGTACAGACCGGGACACTACGACATCCTGTATAAATAGAGGCAGTATTGGGGGGGGCTCCCGCCTGGCCGGTTAGCCAGGCCCCCTCTTTCTCTCTGTCTCGCCCACGTCTCCCTGCCCACCCGCTAGGCAGCGTCGTCTGTGGTTGTAAATGGTGATCGCTCTTGCTGCCATCTCGCTCACTTGGTTTATTATTATTATTTTTTTTCTCCTTTTGTTGTTACACTCACACACTTCTGTGTTTTATTAAAGGGGATGCCGGTGAAACACTTGCCTGGTGGCCTCTGTTTGGTGCTTCAAGGGGTGGGCCGGCCCCTTTTCCCCATCCTGCAAGCCAGCCCCAAGGAAGGTTGTCTGTCTAGGCACAAAATACCATCACCAAAAAAATGACCAAGCAACAGTGGTCTTTGACATCTCATGGGAGGCCAGGCACAGCACATCTGTTTGCAGTCTGGCCGCTGGTGCCTTATAGCTCCTAAATGACAAGATTCTAGTCCTCAAGGGTGCACACAAAAGATTTTTTGGAGATATGAAGCCAGCGCCTGGTGAAATCTTGGGAATCAGAGAAGGTCTGCATAGACTAGGGTGTCAAACATGCGGCCCGGGGACCGAATCAGGCCCCCAGAAGGATTCTACCAGGTCCGCAAGGGACTGGCTGTCGTCCTGCTGCTTTCTTCAGTTCTGTTGCTACTGCTGCTTCATCACTTGCTTTCTCAGACTCTATCACTCAGGAGAGATGTGCAAGCTTCTGTTCCCTGCATCGTCATGGGGAGAAATACAAAGCACCTTTAAGACCAACAAAGTGTTATCCAATGTATGAGCTTTTGTGTGCTTTGATAAAGTATGTATTTTGTTGGGCTCGTTATGCCAGGGCTCTTCTGCGTGCAACTGCAGTCTCACCCCCTTTTGACTGTATTCACACCCTCGTGATCCAGTCTTTCTTAGTAGGAAAGCAATGTGAACTATTTTAGATGAGGAATAACAACAAGCAAATGAGGTATATTAGGCTGAGTGTGTGTGTACAGACCAAGTTCACCCAGCACATTTCCTTTTGGAGATTTTGAACTTGGACTTCCCAGATAGTAGACTGATACTGACCACTGAGGAAGTCTATAGTTTTGAAGACAAACACATAGCCCTAAGTGTGTCATGGTGCCTTCTCACGTTCTTGACCAGCACACAGAGCAATTTATGTACAAAAGGTCGCAAGGCCCAGCCATTTCATGTTTTCCCTTGGGTCTCAGGCTCAGAACTCTGAGCATGAGATTTCTGTAATGAATGTCAACAAATCAAAAGTAGGTTTGCAGCTTACAGATACACACTTGAACAGCATACTCAAGATTTATATCTCCGCTACCTGGCATTACATTTTATTGCGCACATGGCCTGGCCTGACAGTCCAATTTATGTCAAATCTGGCCCTCATAACAAATGAGTTCGACACCCCTGGCATAGACCTTCTGCTGTCCAGCCACTGGCTGTTGGTGCTTTGCAGAGGTTAGTCCTCCTTTTACTTGGCTGTGATTTCCTGCCCCCCTCCCCAATCACAATACAGACCTGGATGGTCAGCATCCCTACCTGGATGGCCCCAGCTAGCCTGACCTCATTAGATCTTGGAAGCTAAGCAAGGTTGGCCATGGCACCAGGGGTCCCCAGGCATTGGCTGCAACTTGGCGGTACTCTCTGCCACCAAATCAAATCGGCATTTGTCATGCAGCGTGTGATATACTTCACAGGGATTTTCAAGCACAGTTTAGTTCCTTCGGCATGGAGAATGGCCGCTTTGTGAAATACTGACTTCATAAAGGGGTGTTCTCGCAACAGGAAGCAGCTCCTTGCAGGTGGGGTCGGGGAGGTGGCCTGCTCTCCCTCTGTCTGGCTGGAGAAGATTCTCCTTGGCTGCCTTCTGGGGCTGCCCCACAAAGGGGTCTGGCTGCACAGGTGCGACACCACACTTCCCTCTTTGCACGATAGAGTGCTACCTTGCATTCATAAGAACTCTCACGCGTGGCCCAGTCACCAATTTAGGGAGATCTAAGTCTTATGATTCCCCCCCCCCCGGTACAGATCTAGAACACACCAAAGGAAGAACTTGTGCTATGCAGAATTCACTGCCACATGCTGTGTTCATGGCCATGAGCTTAGATGACTTCTTGGAGGCTCTATATTGGTCGTGATGGCTCATTGGAACTTCCGCGTTCAGATGAAGCATACCTCTGAATACTGGGAACGGGGGCAGGGGGATACAGTGGGGAGCTGCTGCTCTCGTGCTTGGCTCCTTTGACTTCCCAAAAGAACCTGAGTGGTCACTGTTGGAAGCTGGACTGTTGTCGACAGTCCAGGTGGGCCCTAAGAAGACATCACTGATGGAGTGAACTGCCTTATGTTGCAAATCCCTAAACTAGGCTTTGGCGTAAACGGTCAGTTTGGACCCTTTCCCTCTTACCTATGCCTGTTTCGAACTTCCTTCCAGTCCAGATGGACCGTGCCACTTCGGCAGACTTCCCCAGCTTGCCAGATGCCTCTAATTGTGCTCCATGCCCTGTTCCTACCATTTCAGTTTCCCCTTCTTCCCCCCCCCCCCCGCCTCAGTGCTATTCAGCTGATCCATATTCCACCCTTGTCTCTTCCTGCTGCTGATGTCTCTACGGAGCAGTGTGTGTGTACGTCTGTGTGTGTGTGAGAGAGAGAGAGAGAGAAGAAGAGAAAGCGACAGAGAAGGAATTGCTGTTTGGATTCCCCTGAAGAGATAATGGAAGAATTAATTAATACTGCCCTGCTCGGAGGCAGCTGGTGGGGGCGTGTGGCTGGCCTGTTCCCTGTTGATGAGGTGCGCACACATTCACTCCTGTGTCATCCTTTATTGCCCCCTCTTGTTTGTCTCGGGGCCCCTGGGGGGCGGTGGTCTCAGGCAGGGTCCTAGAAGCTGCCAAGTCTCTTGTGTCGTGCGTTTTGCTGGTACCCTGGATCCTGAATGTTCCAACTTTGGTTCTTTTTTTTACAAAGGGGGTTTCTTGGTGGCTGGGAAACCGTCTTTGGCAGTCTTCCACTACAGAGGGGGCTTTGATGTGTTTTCTAGGGTCTGGGCTTATTTATAGCATTGCTGATTCCACACAAACCCCCAGCCTCTCTGGCTCTGCTCTCCCAGAACGGCTTTGCCTCCTCCCTTGCTCCCCTCCCCCCCAAAAAAATCCCAAACAGCCTTGTCGTTGGAAAACACACTAGAGGCGCCTGCCAATTCCTTCCCAGACAAGGACCAAAAGCTGCCTTTTGTGACAGAGGGTTCTCGCTGGCAGGTGGGCCGGTACGTTTTCCCGGCGGTTGTCTTTTTCTGCCAGGCTTGGCTCCAGCTCTTCTGACATCTTCCTCTCCCCTCCCCTCCCCATCTTACAAGGTGTGCAACAGGACTGGAGGTTCAGAATTTATTCCAAAAGCAGGGTCTGTTTCGTCCCCCCCCGCCTTCCCAAGCGTGAGATATCTTGTGCCAGTGGCCCAGAGCGAAGGAAGGCTCAGAGCTGCGAGTGGGGGCCTCCGAGTGCATCTGTGGGGTAGGAAAGAAACACAGGTCAGCTCTGGCGGTCAAGGACTGTCCACCCCAGCCCCCCAATTCAATTCCAGGGTCCTTCATAAACTGCAGACTCTTCCTGCCTCCTCCCCAGTACGCCCATACGGTCAGTGTTCTAAGCGTTTGGAGGGTGGGGCTGAGATCTAAGGGGGCGGGGAGGATGATGCATTATCCAGCAAAAAAAAAAATCTGGAGAACACCCCCCCACCCCCTACGAGCCTCTTGTTAATAGGGAGGTCAGAGGACCAACTCCCAGTCTCCCCTCTAGGTTACTTCTTGGACTCTTCTCAGCTCTGGCAAGCAGCCCTTCTCCCCACCCCGATTGTGTTTTTTTTTGGGGGGGGGTCGGCCTCGGCCACATGCAATCACTTCAGTCCAGCTGCTTGCAATTCTGCTGCTCCCCATAAGCCACCTTTGCCCTCTTGCTTCCCTAGATTAGCCAAGCAGCCCCCCTCCCCCCGCAACCCATGCAAAAATAGTTTCCCCTCTTGCACCCAAGGCAGGGATGGGCTTGGCCTCTGGAGCTTGGTTGACCAGTCGCCTTATACTCAGACCCTCCCCCCATCAAAGTCCCACGAACAGGCTTTGGCAGTTGTGCCGACCTGTTGTTTAAATGGGGCAAAGTACCAAGACCCAAATGAGATCGTGGTGCAGCCCGCCAGACTATTTTACATCTCTCACAGGAATCTCAGCGTCGTGCTTTCCAGGGAGATGGGATGGAGCTCTTCCTGCTCTCCCCAGGTGTGATTGGGCGGACTGAAAACTTAGACAGTAGTACTTAGGGGGATTGCTCGATCCGCCCGCATAACTGTTGTATCTACTTGGTTATTTTATATGCTTCCTGTGTGTAACTCTGCCATGCAGTAAATACACAGTATTGTCTACCCAGACTGGCAGCAGCCGTCCTGGGTCTCAGGCAGAGGCCTTTCACATCACCTACTGCTTGACCTTTTTGGCTGGAGAAGCTGCTGGGGACTGAATAGCAGAGGAGAGGACTCGCAATCATGGGTTTAAATTAAGGGCGGGAAGGTACCGGCTGAACATTAGGGAAAACATTTATACAGTCAGAGTTGTGCAACAGTGGAATCGGCTGCCTCAGGCGGTGGTGAGCTCCCCCTCACTGGCAGTCTTCAAGCAGTGGCTGGATGAACACTTGTCAGGGATGCGGTCTAGGCGGATCCTGCACTGAGCAGGGGGCGGGACTAGATGGCCTGTATGGCCCCTTCCAACTCTGTGATTCTAGGATTCTATGAACCTGGGACCTTCTGCATGCCAAGCAGATGCTCTACCACTTAGGCACATGCATACAGAAGATTTCTGTACTCACAATCAAGCTGAATAACTGGGGAAATTCATATCTTTGTAATCTAATTCAGTTCACTGGCTCATGGTGAAAAGGATTGCGCGTTCCCATCTCCTTGCCGTTTAAAGAGAACAAAGGCCACGGGAAGAGAGCTGTAAAACTCGAATCCTCGCGCGTCTGTGTGCCGGATGCTGTGGGATGTCTAACTAAAGACTTCAATTCCCAGGAATCACTGCTCTTAAAGATATATGGCAGTTCTACTTAACTACAGTTTAAAATGCTGTCTGGGGCAGCACAGCCTCTAAAACACACACATGAACACGCAAAGCTTCCTCATACTGAATCAGACCATTGATACATGTATTCTGACTGGCAGCAGCTGTCCAGGATCTTGGGCAGAGGTCTTTCACTTCACCTGCTGCCAGATCTTTTAATTGGAAATGCTGAGGATTGAACCTGGGACCGTCTGTATGCCAAGCCGATGCTCTGCCACTGGGCCACAGGGGCCCCCCCCCCAGCTCTTGAGGCACCCTTTTAGCTAGGTAGCCATCCGATCCCTTCTTTACCCTCCATAATCCTGTCCCTGAGAAGGGGAGCTACCCAGTCACTGGAGGGGACCCAGGAGTCCTGGCTGGGCCCATTAGTGAGCCATAAGAACAGAAGAGAAGCCAGTGTTGGATCAAGCCAATGGCCCATCCAGTCCAACACTGTCTCAGAGTGGCCAAAAATACCAGGTGACATCAGGAGGTCCAGCAGTGGGGCCAGGACACCAGAAGCCCTCCCACTGTTGCCCCCCACAGCCAACTATGTGAGTGTGTTAAGTGTCAGGCAAGCACACACATGCCCCCCCCCCTTAAAACACTGCAGCCAGTGCCGGGAAGCTCTTACCCCCTGCAGAGACTGGGAAATGTGGTCAAGCTGGAAACAGAGGAAGAAGACGTGAATCCCTACGAAGGACCCTTGCCCCCCCCCTCACCCTGCTGACACCCTACACACAAAGGAGATAAGTTCTGGGCGTCTGAAGGTCTCAGCAGAGCCCACCCCTTGAAAAAGCCCACCGGGAGGATGTCCGGGACCCACCGACGGGGAAGAAACGAGGCAGCTTCTCCTTGTAGATCATCTCGTCTGTCTCTAAGAAGACACAGATGATAATTCGGTCGACCTGCCGGGAGGACAGCAGAAGATATGTAACCATCGGCGGGGGGGCGGGGGGCATGGAGCAGCAATGTCCAAACTGAGGCGGTTCATGCAATTTGCTCAATTCTACACTGCCTGCAGCGAGGGGTGTGTGTGTTTCGTGCGTAATACGGTATTCTTAGCTGTGTTTTTACTTACGGGTACCTGACCTGGTACCCAGCAGTTTGAAAGCAAGAAATTGCGAGTAGATAAATAGGTACCACTTTGGTGGGAAGGTAACAGCGTTCCATGCGCCTTGGTGTTTAGTCATGCCGGCCACATGACCACAGAAACGTCTTCGGACAGCGCTGGCTCTTCGGCTTGGAAACGGAGATGAGCACCGCAACCCTAGAGTCGGACTCGACTGGCTTTCGAGCAAGGGAACCTTTACCTTTACCTAACCTGGATAGCCCGGGCAAGCCCGATCTTGTCAGATCTCGGAAGCTAAGCAGAGTCATCCCTGACTAGTACTTGGACCGGAGACCACCAAGGAAGTCCTGGGTCGTTAGGCAGAGAGCCAATGACAAACGATCTGGGGGGGGGGTGTCACTGTACGTCAGTTGCGACTCAACATAACTTCCCACCATCACTGTAACATCCTAACTTTACTGACGGCAGTGAGAGGGTGGGCCCATCAACCGAGAGGCTTCCTTCTCCCTTTCTTGTAGGCTCTGCCCCCTTTCGCCCAGGTTTTTATAAATCTGTTCTGATTAATTTGCATGCAGCCACTTCTTCATCTGTCTTCAGTTTTTTTTAAATGCACATTTGTACATATTTCCCCCTTTAAAAAACCCTTTACAGCCCTGACCTGGATAGCCCAAGGCAAGCCCAGATCTCGAAAGCTAAGCAGGGCCAACCCTGGCAAGTACTTGGATGGGAGACCTCCAAGGAATACCGGGGCCAGGACGCAGAGGCAGGCAATAGCAAGCCACCTCTCTGAAATGTCCATGCCCCACTAGGGGTCGCCAGAAGTCACCATGACTTCCAGGCTCACAAGTGCGCACACACACACATACACACACACACACACACAAAATACATTTTAAAAAAATCCTTTACAGAGATGTCTTTTCATGGCTTCTCTGTTGCTCCCCCCGCCCACTCACTGTCAGCATGTAAGAGGTCTGTGATGCTCTAATGGGAATGCTGGGCTAGCTTTCCAGTAAGCGACAGAGGTGCTCCCTGGGAGCAGCCTGCCACATCCCTCACCTTCTCCTTGTTGTCCTCGAGCCAGTTATGGAGCGTGTGCAGCACAACCTCGGCAGCGGCCTCGTTGGGGTAGCCTGGGGAGAGAAGGAGAAGGGATGTTGCGGAAGAGGTTCCAGTCCGGCCCTCCCTCTCAAGAAGGCTGGGGCACCGCTACCCCCCTCCTTCCACTTACCGAACACACCCGTGGAAATGCAGGGGAAGGCCTGGTGGGACAGAAAGGCAGGAAGGGTGTTAGTGACAGTCTCCCGGTTGAAAGCGCTTTGACGAAGCCTGATGTGTTGAGGATTCTGATTCTGACTTCCTTAGAACTCGGGTTGCCAGGTTCCTCGGCCCAGAGGTCGGGGCATGGGGAGTGCACTTACCAGGAGGGAAGGAGGAAGAAGCAGGAAATAAACGCGACGTGCCTACGTCACTTATAGATGACGTAGGCACATTGGGGGTGACGCTCTGGTTTGTGGGCAAAACTCTATGGTAGAATTAGCTTTAAACCACAGAGTTTTGCCCAAAACCCAGAGCGTCTCTCTCCCTCCCCGAAGTCACGGGCTTGCCTATGTCACTTTCAGGTGACGTAGGCATGTCGCGTTTACTTTCGGTTTCTTGCCCATTTGGAGGGGCAATTCCCCCCCATTTTTGATTGCCTTGAACCAGGTGGAGATGCTCCAACCCGAGGGATCCCCACCCCCAAGTGGCGACTGGCAAACCCTACTTACAACACTTCCACTCCCTGCCCTCTTAGTCCCAGATATTTGGTTGAGCAGCAAGACAGAGCCAGTTTGGTGTAGTGGTTAAGAGCACAGACTCTAATCTGTGAGAACCAGGTTTGATTTCCCACTCCTCCACATGCAGCTGCTGGTGTGACCTTGGGTCAGTCACAAGTTCTCTCACGAGCAGTTCCTGAAAGAGCTCTCTCAGCCCCACCTACCTCACAAGTGTCTGTTGTGGATTCTCTCTTAGTCCACATTCTCTTCACCTTTAAACCTTGACAGTGAGCCCCCCCCCTTGAGTGATCCATCTGTGAAAAGATCGATGCCATTCCTAGGGGGGCCAGTTTGGTGTAGTGGTTAAGTGGTGTAGTGGACTCTAATCTGGGCGAATCGAGTTTGATTCAACATTCCTCCACTTGCACCTGGCTGAATGACCTTGGGCAAGCCGTAGTTCTGGCACAGCTGTTCTTGAAAAAAGAGCAGTTTCTGTCAAGAGCTCTCTCAGCCCCACCTACCTCACAGGGTGTCTGTTGTGGGGAGGGGAAGGGGAAGGAGTTTGTAAGCTGCTCTGAGACGCCTTTGGGTAGTGAAGGGCAGGGTATAAATCCAATCTCTTCTTCTTCTTCTTCTTCTTTTCCTTTCCTTAAGGAGGTTCCCCTGAACTGACCACCAGAGTAGAGATGACCCTTGAACAGACAATCTTTTTGAATGGCGATTGGAGTTGTTACTGAAGTGCCTTATAAACCAATTTTGCAATGGTCTCAGATGTAATCAAGGATGTGGGACCACTGCCATGGTGGAGGCCATGTAGCCTAACAGCTTTTGAATACATTTCGCTGACTGATATCTGTTAGCAAAAAATTTCTTTACCAGCGCTAATATGGTTTTTACTCAGGAAAGAGGCAAATAAGCCTTTCCGTTTTGTGAATCTAACAAGGCTCCAAAGAACTTGATTGATTGAATGGGACAGAGGCAGGATTTCTCCCAGTTCACCAACAGACATAGTGATTGGATAGTATGCAATGCCAACTCTATGTTTTTGAGGAGTCTATCTGGAGAGTCACTGACAAAGAGCCAATCATCTAGGTAAAGGTATACAGTACAACATCACAACCGTGAGCTAAGATTTGTACCACACACTTGATAAACACCCTGGGGACTGTTGCAAGTCTGAAAGGAAAGTACCATATACCCATAGGCAATGTTCCCTCTAAGCTGTGGAATCTTGTGAGCAGAAATTCTACTTTGTGAGCTACTGGCATTAATGTTGTGAGCGAGCAATTTGGCTACTGCATAAATTTGTTTGCTCTGGAGCCATCCTTCCCGAGCGGAGACAAAAATGTGTGAGCCGGAGGCTAAAAAACTGTGAGCTAGCTCACACTAACTCAGATTAGAGGGAACACTGCCCATAGGTGCTATTAGTGTATGAGAACCTCAAGTTTTTCCTACTACTCTTGTGTGTCAAGATGTGGAAATATGTATCTTTCAGGTCTAGTATGGGAAACCAACATTAGGAGTTATTTATTTATAGATTAGATTTAAAAATCGCTCAGTCCCTGAGTACTCAGTGCTCTGAGCGATGAACAACTGTAAAAACATCATTTTAAAACATTCCTACAGTTAAATATCCTGCCAACCTAGCAGTTCGAAAGCAAGAAATTGCAAGTAGATAAATAGGTACCACTTCGGTGGGAAGGTAACAGCGTTCCGGGCGCCTTGGTGTTTAGTCATGCCGGCCACATGACCACGGAAACGTCTTCGGACAGCGCTGGCTCTTCGGCTTTGAAACGGAGATGAGCACCGCAACCCTAGAGTCGGATTCGACTGGCTTTCGAGCAAGGGAACCTTTACCTTTACCTTACAGTTAAATAAACTAATTAAAAACAAGTTCATGGATAGCTACAAATTTAAGAAAGTTTTTGGCTTTGTGGAACCGCACCACACACAGTTAGACTTGGTTCAATAACTTCCAATGTGGTTGTTCAAAGGATCAAAACAGAGAATAGCATGCAAAAACAATAAAGATGTTGCCGTAGGAAAGTCATTCATTAACTATGACCTCTATATGTCTGGCACATTGCTTCATTGGGGGATCTGAAAATATTATAGTCTGCAAAGCTATACAGGGTATAAAGTATTTCACTTCCTGTAAGGATAGCAATCTAACCTTCAAGACCCTCAGATGTTTACTCAAGGATCTGAGGTTTAAAATGGGCCTCTTGCTTTCTCCCTTATCAACGGTGAAATATCTAGCGGAAGGGGAAAAGCCTTTTGATTGGCTTTCAAGATCCTTCTTTGTAATTGTTCCTTTGGTCAATAAGGAGATTTCCTGCGTCAAGAACAATGAAGGCTTGCAAAACCTAGTTTTAGTATAATCAAGAGGAGAGAGTTTGGTGTCGTGGTTAGGAGTGCAGACTCTGATCTGGGAGAACCAAGTTTGATTCCCCACGCTTCCACATGCAGCTGCTGGTGTGACCTTGGGTCAGTCACAAGTTCTCTCAGAGCTGTTCTCTCTCAAGGGCAGTTCTTGAGAGCGCTCTCTCAGCCCCACCTACCTCACAAGGTGTCTGTTGTGGGGAGGGGAGGAAATGGGGTAGTGAAGGGCGGGGTATAAATCCAATCTCCTCCTTCTGAACTCCAAAAAAAGAATACCCAAACATCAACTGTAATATGGTACCATTCAAAGAAAAACTTTGACAATCTGTTCAGAAAACAGTGGTCTGAGACTAGTCAAGCCGATGGGGCCGTTCTAGCATGCTGGTCCCTGGGGGATTAGGGATGGTTCGTTCCCCTTTGTCTACCCTGCCTCCTGGGCTGGGATTGTTGGGTGTAGGGTGGCCTGAGGCCTTGCTGTAGAGGTGGAGGAGACTCGTATCTATAGCCCCGAGCACGGTAGGGTCTAGACTGAGAGTATTTCTGAGTATGCCTTGAAAAGAACCTTTGCTTAAAAGTAGTGGATGCCCAGAGATTTTGCCGTCAGTTTATTCTTCCAGATTCCATCCAGGACTGCATCAGTCTGGCCACTAAAGAGGTCCCAACCTTTGAATGGAAGGTCTTTTACTTTCGCTCTCGTGTCCAATGGGAGCGCTGAGGAGTGTCACCAGGAATATCTCCTTACGACAATGCCTGAGGCCATCGATGTGCTCGGGCAGCCTGCTCTGTGCCTCGCAGTGCTGAACTGCTGTTTTACCCAATTTCTGTCCTTCAACAATAAGGGCTTTGACCACCCTTTGCTTAGCGACTGGTCACATCTCTACAAACGGTAACGTTTTCCCCCCTTAACTACATTTGATAGCAGCCTGTGACTGCTGTAAATTTAGCTCCCCTCAGTCCCATTGCTCCTGAGGAGTAAATCAGTAGGACAGGTCATCTGCCTTCCTCATCTGGGGGGAGGAATGACTTCCAGTTCGTCCTTTTGCCGGCAGAACCTCCGACACTACGGAGTTTACCTGAGGGTCTTTGAATAAGAAGTCACAGCCTTCTTCCCTGATTCTGTATAAGTTCTCTAGTTTCTTTGAAGATGCTGGCACCGAAGTCAGCTTTGCCCCAATAGCTATAGGTATGTCCTGGATTTCCTGTGATAATGGGAGAGCCACTGGGCCTGAGTCAGGGGTGTATAGGACTTTCATTATGGGGTTGGATGGCTGTGGTTCCGATATGTTGAATTTCAGTCCTAGGGCTTTTGCCATTTGGATCAGCTGTTCGAATACATCTTCGGATCTTCCGTAGGTGAGTGTGATGGAAATTCGGCAACTGTTTTACGTGGGGATGGCCCTGAAGTGCTCTCTGAACCCGCTTCCGATAACTGATAAAGTGAGTCCTCTAGATCAGACCGGTGATGGGGAGGAGTCCCCTTGGGTTGGTAATGTAGTTGCTGGTGCTGCCTCGATGCTGAAGGATTCTTTGCAGGGCGCGCCGGTTGCCATGGGCATGGGGGTTGTAGCGATGCCCACTGAGTATCATAAATGGGAACGGCCCCTGATTAGGTGGTTGTTTGCCTGCCCATCCACTACCTTGAGGGATTGCTGGACCCACAGCAGGAACCTCTAAAATTTCATCCTCCTGAGGAATTCAAGCACCACAAATCCCCTCTAGATGGTGAGGGGGTCCTCGGATGCAAAAACAGCAATCGCTTCATATTGGAAGGAGAAAACAGCGCCCACGATAGAAGTATGGTACAAAAAATTATGGAGTCACTATTTGATGGATGCAGTTACCAACAAACTAAACTATTTGTTGCAAAATCCCAAAAAATCCAATTTTACAGAAAAATGGTTCCCAGTACTTGATTACTTGTCACTCAAGCAGTTTATCTCACATGAATGGTCTCAATATCATAATTGGATATAACAGCAATAGTTCTTGAATTTCGTAGAATCTTGCTCTTGTCTTTGTCTATCTTCTTTAATTTTGTGAAAGTTTCCTCTTCTGGTGAGCACAGTGTTTAGTGTTAATTTATATTGGTTATTGGAGAGTAGTACGAGGTTGGCTTGTCTACCATAAAAGAAGTTACAAGTAGTTACATAGTATCTGTATTATAGTGTATAGGTATAAGGCGCATATACGATTTGTTGTAAAGTAAAACAATGTAACTCATTCAACTGGTTATTTTAGTGTTAAAACAGGAAGTACTATGTTATTGTTGTTATGGCGATTATATGTATGATTTCGTGTTTAAAATAAAAAATTTAATTATTAAAAAAAAAGAAAAGAAATGAGCCAATGTTGAGCCTTGATGGCAAATTGTGGCATTATGGAGATTTCGATTTAAAGATCGTCGGTGTCAAAGCTCGACTTCAAGGGGAGGTCAACCGTCAGAGTCGAGGTGGGGAGGACTGTTGCTCCCGATCCAGGGCGTGTGCTTTCCGTGAGGGAGATGGTCAGTTCTGAGAGGGAACCTGCATGACACCGGGTCGATGGCGATCAGTCTGGACTAGGCCTTTGTGGCCATTTAGCCTTCTTTCTTGCTTCTTTTGAAGGTGGTTCCAGTGCCGGCCTTGGTGTGGAAGTGTGTGATCGCAGCTCTGAAAACAAGAGTATCGTGGCAAAGCCACCAAATGGGCTCTCGCACCCGTGTCGATTTGGGTCCAGTTTTCCCCACGGGGGTCCGGGACACCCAGGGCTTTCCCCCATAACGTGGCTTTAAGCCTTGCCGCTCTCCTTTCACAGGCCTTCAGAGTAAGGCGCTGACAGGGCGGCCGCGTGGCTGTATTGTGGCCCTCTCCCAGTCACAAGAAGAAGCATGAGGAACGGTCATCATTTTGGGCCATTTTTGCCTCGCAATCCCCACATTTCTTAAATAGAGCCATCCTGCCGATCTGTAGGTTGCTTTAGAAGTCTTCAGTGTGCTCCGTGGAGTGATCCTGTTTGTTTCTCTGAGGCCCCACGAAGCAGCGATCTGAAGTACGTCCTCTCCTCATGTTGGCGAGAAGAGAACTGAGGGGAGGAGTGCTAGCCTCGCCCCTCTCATGTGACCCTTTGGGCGGGAAAAGGGAGAAGGGATCACTGGAGGCAGAGGGGAGGGGGAGCACTCCAGAGCCTAGAAGCTTCTTCAGAAAAGCTTGACAGCTCCTCTCCAAGGCTGGCCTGCCATCATGCAGTCCCCCATGTATGCCCGCACAGAAGACCACAAAGATTAACTGCCTTTGTACTGTGTGGTAGTGGGGAAGGAGCTCTGCACACGGGCAGAGGCTAGGCCGGCTACGACAGAAGAACAGGCTTAGTTAATGTAGAGAGCCAGTGTGTAGCGGATAGAGTGGTGGACTGGGACTCTGGACGACCTGGCTTTGAATCCCCATTCTTACCATGAAAGCCTGCTGTGCGACCTTGGGCCCCTCACAAACTCTCAGCCTGGCCTACCTGTCAGGATTGTTGTGAGAGAATGGAGATGGGTAGAGTGAAATTCTAAGCCCTTTTGATTTCCATGTGGGGAGAAAAGCAGGAAACAAACAAATGCAAAAATAAATGCAACGTGGGATTTCAGGGTTCTCTCTGGTGGCCTTCTAAATGTTTGGGCTCGATGTTTCTGTGCCCCTCGGTCAAAACGAAGCGCCCCCCCCCCCAATGTTGTTTTTCATCTCCGCAAATCGGTCAAGTGCTCCTCCTTTAGAGCAGTGGGCTGAAATCCTTCTCCCAGCTGGCAGGTGCAGAACTGGCCCAGCTGTAGGTCTCCTGCACAGGGTGATCTAGTGTGCACAATGGAGGGTTTTGGCCCGTGCAATGTTTGGCCTGCCTAGACTTCCCTTTTGGTGCCAGTTTGGTGTAGTGGTTATGTGTGCAGACTCTAATCTGGGAGAACCGGGTTTGATTCCCCACTCCTCCACTTGCGCCTGGCTGGATGACCTTGGGCAAGCCGTAGCTCTGATAAGAGCTGTTCTTGAAAAAGAGCAGTTTCTGTCAAGAGCTCTCTCAGGCCCACCTACCTCACAGGGTGTCTGTTTATATTTATTTATTTTTATATTTATTTATACATTCCATTTATATACCGCTCTAACCTTTTTGCCAGTCTCTGAGCGGTTTACATATAGTTCCAAATTCCAGTTCATCTAACTAGGGCCACATTGTCAATGGGGTAGTGTCTGCCTATCAGCACCCCGGGCTTGTGGACTCTACGGGCATGATACTCCACAGGGGTCCCTCTCCTCCCCAAACCCTGCCCTCCCCAAGTCACGCCTCCGAAATCTCCCGGAATTTACCAGTCCAGAGCTAGCAAACCTGAGTGCCTGATGTGCTACTTGAAACCCTCACCCCTGCGCACTTCCTGCCTGCTCCTGCATCCGGCCCTAGCTGGGCAGTCCTTGCCCCTTGCGAAAAGCCTGCCACGGCCTCTCCAGCTCCACCGCCCTCGGCAGGGCTTCTGCTCCCCCCCATCAAAGCTTTGCCTTTAACCCCTGCCTCCCCATCCCAAGTGGGGAATCAAACCCGGTTCTCCCAGATTAGAGTCTGTGCTCTTAACCACTACAACAAACTGGTGTATTTGGATGGGAGACCCCCAAGGAAGTCCAGGGTCACGATGCGGAGGCAGCCAAGGACAAATCACTCCTGTTGGTCTCTCCCCTTGAAAACCCTACAAGGTTGCTGTAAGTCAGCTGTGACTTGATGGAACTTTCCTCCACCACCATTCAGAAGAGCCCTGTTGGATCAGACCAAAGGTCCATGTTAAACCCCCCCCCCCATCCTGTTTTCTGCACTTGGCTAGCCGGATGCCCCCAGAAGCTCATAACTAAGCCATTAGGGTCGCTAGCTCTGGGTTAGGAAATTCCTGGAGATTTGTGGGTGTGGCCAGGGGAGGGCAGGGTTTGGGGAGCGCGGGGACCTCAGTGGGGTATGAGGCCATAGCATCCACTCCCCAAAACAGCCATTTCCTCCAGGGGAACTGATCTGTTGACTGGAGATCAGTTGTAATTCCAGATCTTCAGGTCCCACCTGGAGCCTGGCAACCCTACAAAGTGACAGCCCCTTCCTTTCCTTGTGAATTCATTCCTGAGTTGGAAAGTCTCTGGCCTGCACACTTGCTCCTGTGGATCCCCACTCCCATCATCATTATAGGGCTGCCAGTTCCAGGTTGGGAAGTACCTGGAGATTTCAGGGGTGGAGGCTGAGGAGGGCGGGGTTGGGGAGGGCAGGGACTCCAATGGGGTAGGATGCCACAGAGTCCACCTTCCAAAGCTGCCATTTGGTCTGGGTGAACTGATCTCTGTCGCCTCGAGAGCAGCTGTCATCCCAGGAGATCTCCAGCCGCCACCTGGAGGTTGGCAACACCAATAATCAAATACCCGAAACTTCGTCCTGGCCTGCTTACCACTGTCCGTAGCTTGTTCTCCACCGCAAGCTTCAGGCTGTTCGTGTAACAGCTGCTGAGTTCGGCTTCTTGGGCAGCGCTGGGTTCCCCTTGGGCGATCGGGCCGACGGTGTGAATGATGTCTGAAAGGAGAGAGGGGAGTCGTAGCCTAGAAGCGAAATGGACTACGTCCACAACACACCCACACCCACAACTGCAGCAAGAGGAGCTTGCAAGAACTCAGCAGCTCGACGCCACCCAAGCGCCTCGCAAAGAGCTCCTGTGCTCATTTTCTAACACCGGCTTTCCACATAAGCCGGTTCCTTACCAAGAGAGCAGAGCAAAGATTACTTCTGCTAGCCCTTGGGCACTTTAATAAATATTACACAATGATTACGTATTGGATTTATTTGTTTTAAATTTATAGACTGACCTCCAGCTATACCATGGCACTGAGGTACTCTTGCAAGCTATGTAATTTGGACTTAAAATAGTGCTTTTGTGTAAGGTGGTGATATTTTTTGTTCCTTTTTTGCATTAAACATACATTTAGCAATGCACTGATCAAGTAGCGATATATTTTTTAATGTTCCTGTTTTATTAGCGAGTGAGGTTATACACTTCTACAAAAGTATATACTGGGAATGATTCATATGTCAGGGACTTGGTATTGCTTACTTGCAGTCCTCTCTCTTCTTGTGCATTGTACTAATTTCTGCAATACCCCTGTGCCCACCCATTTAAAAGCCATACAAATGCTGGCTCTTTGGTTAAAGATATGAAGGCGAAAAACTTAATTGTCCTACATTGCATTAGCAATGGTGCAGGTCAGCTATACTGTGGCCCCGGTCACATGGCAAAGTTGCCGCGGGAGAGGCACGGATGGTGGACGGATTATCCGGGCGCGATTACACCCCAACATCTGGGAAGTGGAGAAGAAGAAGAAGAAGAAGAGATTGGATTTATACCCCGCCCTTCACTTGGAGTCTCAGAGCGGCTTATAAACTCCTTTCCCTTCCCCACTCCACAACAGACACCCTGTGAGGTGGGTGGGGCTGAGAGAACTCTGACACAAACTGCTCTTTCAGGAACAGCAGTGCTAGAGCTTGTGACTGACCCAAGGTCACATCAGCAGGTGCAAGTGGAGGAGTGGGGAATCAAACCCGGTTCTCCCAGATTAGAGTCCGCACACTTAACCACTACACCAAACTGGTAAGCCACGGGTGCGCAATCAGCGCACCCATGGCTTACCACCGACAATGCGCATTAAAAAACTAGTACCTTCAAGGTACTAGTAAACGTTTGCCATGGGCTGCCTCCAGACGCCGGTGGTGTGATCGCGCCGGCGTGCGGCTTTCCCCTCCGGTCCCTCGTTTACCCGCCGGCACCGAGGGGAGGACCCGTGGTGTGCCGCCGGTGCGTCTGATTGCGTAATCGCGGATCAAACTGCACCGTGGCAATTAGCCATACCTCCCCCCCCCCGCGCGATATCCGGCCCGTGTGACCGGGGCCTGTGTTTAAAATGGCAGGGTGGGAATTAAACACATGAAGCTGTCTCATATTGAACAGATATTTGGTCCAGCAAGGTCAGTCTTGTCTACTCAGACTGGCAGTGGCTCTCCAGGGTCTCAGGTTGGAGGTCTTTCACATCCCCTCCTGCCTGCTCCTTTTAACTGGAGATGCTGGGGATTGAACCTGGGACCTTCTGCATGCCAAGCAGATGATCTGCCATTGAACCCTCTAAGGCTCCTCCCAAAGGCATGACATTCTTCGACAGGGATCAGGGCTCCCACATACAGAAAACAATTCGGCTTTGTAGGTGGCGTGAAAAGCAGGGAGGGTTAGTGGCTGGGATTCCTGGCTTGCCAAATATATTCCATTTCCCCTCTGTGCATTTTTCAATAGAGAGCAGCGGTGCTTACTTATGAGTAAACGTAATTTGACTCCCCCCTTCATAGTCAGAAATGGTCCATGTTAGGCAGCAGGGGGTGCTGTTGAGCCAGCAATTGATGCACACGGAAGTTGAAAGAGCCTAGGCTTATGTCAGCATGTTGGCCGCTGTGCGCACATCACGTAAATCTGAACATGGCCAAAGCTTCAGCGATCCATTGCTAGTACCTGCCAGTGTTCCCTCTAAGGTGAGTTAGTGTGAGCCAGCTCACAGGTTTTTAGCCTACAGCTCACACATTTTTTTCTAAGCCCAGGAAGGACAGCTCCAGTGCAAACTAATTTATGCAGCAGCCAAATTCCTCGCTCACAACTTTAAGGCCAGTAGCTCACAAAGTAGAATTTTTGCTCACAAGACTCCACAGCTTAGAGGGAGCATTGGTACCTGCTCTCAGCCCTGGATTTTGGCATAACAGCAACAAAACAAAGACCACGGCCCTTCAATCCCTGCTAGAACCTCCTTCGGTCCCTTGCTACCCCGATTCATAACAATCCCAAGCATTTATTAGTAATAACACTGCTTTGTTGTAAGCCTTACAACAACCAGGCCTCTATCGTTACCCCCACAGTGCACATGGGAGGGCTGAGCCATGGAGGGAGGGAGGGAGAGGGAGGTTTACCCAAGGCTAATCAATGAATTTGTTCAAGACAGATAGCCGAGTTAGTCTGTCAGTAGCAGAAGAAAAGAGCAAGAGTCCAGTAGCACCTTAAAGACTAGCAAAATTTGCAGCAGGGGATGAGCTTTCGTGAGTCACTGCTCACTTCTTCAGATATAGCTAGAATATGCGTCTATCTGTCCTATATACTGGAAAGTGCCAAATGTCCTATACATTTCAGATGACATTAGGTGTGATATGCAGAGAGGTAGTAGGTTTCCTGTCTCATTACCAATGCTGATTTCTCCACGCCTACTCCCTTTCTGCATATCACACCCAATTCAATCACACCTGCTAATGTCATTTGCCTGCTAATGTCATTTGGCATCTGAAATCACTCCGCTCTCCAAGATATAAGGACCGATGGACGCACATTCCAGCTGTATCTGAAGAAGTGAGCAGTGATTCACGAAAGCTCCTTCCCTGCCACAAATTTTGTTAGTCTTCAAGGTGCTACTGGACTCCTGCTCTTTTCTAGTGGCAGAGGTGAGATTTGGACAGCCTCATTCTCTTGGCCGTATGCTGCACCAGCTCACACGGAATGCCAGACAGGGATATGCGCAGAAACAGAACAGCAGCGACGTTTCTTCCTAGAGTTACACAACCCGCAAGTGCGACTTCTCTGTTGTTTCACGCATGCTAATAGGGATGTGCTCAAAACACCCCTCGGTTTGTTTTGCCCGCTCTGCCCCTTCTGCTGCTGCCTTGGATGGATGTCTTTGCCCTGCCTGCGAAGTTGGCTCCCTCTACAACAACTGGCTCTCTGCTGAAGTCAAGGCCAAATGGGAGTCTGTTCGCTTGAGTCCAGATGTAATAGAAAACTACTAATTTACTGCATCAGGTCCCCCAGCGGGGGTCCAAAGCAGCTGATATAATTGTCCTCTCCACCATTTTGTCCTTGCAAGAACCGCCCTGCAAGACAAGTCAGGCCGAGAGGGAGTGACTGGTCCAAGGTCACCCAGCAAGGTTCCACGGCACAGTCGTGATTTGAACTCAGATCTCTCAGATCCTAGCCTAGCATTCATACCACGCTGGCTCGCTCAGTGTCACTGTCTCCCAACGTGTCATCAGCCCTTTGACATCGACCTCAGCCGTTGTGAACGGCAGGAGATTGTGCACTGCGAAGCACCTTGATGTCCAAGCTCATGCACTGATGCACGTGAACAGCGGAAGCAAGATGAAGCTACCCACCCTTCCAAGACACTGAAGCTGAAACCCTAAGCAGACCTGATGGTGGTGGAAAGTGCCATCAAGTCACAGTTGACTTAGAATCGTAGAATCAGAGAACCACAGCGCTGGAAGGGACCTCCAGGGTCATCTAGTCTAACCCCCTCCACGCCCCCAGTGACCCCTGTTCCATGCCCAGAAGATGATAAAAAACCTCCGGGATCACTGGGGGCCAAACTGGCCTGGAGAAAAATTGCTTCCTGACCCCAAAGTGGCAACCAGCACTTCCCTGGGCGTGTAAGAAAGGGCCACGAGAACTAAGCCCTGAGGCAGCCCTCCCTGCCCTCCCTCTCACGATCTGCCCCTAAGTTCGCAGGATCAGCAGTGCTGTCAGATGGCCATCTAGCCTCTGTTTGAAAACCTCCAAAGCAGGGGAGCCCACCACCTCCCGAGGAAGCCCGTTCCACAGAGCAGGCGAGGCCTCAAAACACTGTATCACTATTCAGTATTTTGATTCATGCCTCATCGTAACAGCACCAAAGATCCTTAACCCGAAAGGCCACATTCCCATGGTTCTGCATCATGTCTTCCCCATACAGAGCTCTCCGTCCTGGATCCAGCAGGGCCCATTCCGCCTCAGTGAAATAGACGGACACCTCCTTAAAGGAAAAGAGACACTGGACTGGAAGCTGACTTATGTCAACCTGCTGGGGTTCTCAAGGCAAGAGAACGTTCGGAGGTGGCTTGCCATTGCCATCCTCTGCGTAGCAACCTTAGACGTCCACAGTGGTCTCCCTTCCAAATACTGACCAGGGCCAACCCTGCTTAGCTTCCATGATGAGCTCAGGCTTGCCTGGGCCACCCAGGTCACCACAAGCAAACGTACCAGTGAGAAAAGCCACTGAAATTGGTGGCTCTGATTTCTCAGGGAGCATGCTGTTGTGTAGTGGGTTCGACGCATTGAATGATCAGGAAACAGCGTGATTGTCAGCACATGTTTACTAGTACACAACATAACAACCCAAATACCGGCCAGGCGGCCAACTATATACAGTCCCCGTGGACCACCCACAGGTCCTATTGGAGGGTTTAAACTTCCCGCCAAGGTTCCTCTTGGTGACCACTTGAGGTTTCAGGATCCTAGTCCCTATTATCTCTGAGAGCCAAGCTCCGGTATAAGTCGCTGGCGCCTAGTGGCGGTCAGCGGACATAACACATGCAGAGGATTGTGCTGTACACTCCTAGAGAGCAACGAAGCCGGAAGAACGTCAGTGTCAGCAACTCAAACGTGTACGTTTTTAACAAGGGGTCCCCCAAAGGGCACAGCCACGGGCCAGGGACTGTACGGAGGTAGGCATAGCATGCAAAGGGTG